TTGTTTTGGTCTTTTGACTCACGATGGGTCTCCCTATGCAGTTCGGGCTGGCCTTAAGCTCACTGTGTAGCCCAGGTTGGTCTCAAACTCCCAACACTCCTCCTGCCTCAGCCTCACAAGTTCTGGGATTACAGGTATGTGCCACCACACCTGGCTATTATATATTTATGTAAATATAATTAAACATTATTTTCTGAATCAAATGAATAGGCTTTTTTTTAAAAAAAAATGTTCATGCCAGGCATGGTGGCACACACCAGTAATCTCAGCATTCAGGATGCTGACAGAGGATCATTGCAAGTTCAAGGCCAGTTAGGGCTACAAAGTGAGTTCAAGGCCAGCGAGACCCTGTCTCAAAAAACCAAGTAAATAGGCAAAATAAAATAATAGTTCACGGGTCATAGAACATGCCAGGGATATAGCTCAGCGGCACAAGCATCTGCCTGGCAAACGCAAGGTCCTGAGTTCGATTCCTGGTACCAAAAGAAAGGAAGAAACCATAAGTCACAGAATAAAGCAGGAGTCAACATCAAAATCATTGATTTGCAAAAGGATGGGTTACAGGTATTTCCAGTTCCCCTGCTGGGCACCTGCCTTTCCCAGCCTTTCCTTTACGAAGAGGAAGGAACGTGACTGCTATGTTTGTGTCTGGATATCCCCGCAAGCCGCATGCAGTCTAGAGTTCATGACTGATTCATGGGTGGGAGAGCTGCACCCGCCCTGGGGCAGGCAGCGTACGTACAGTGTAAGGGAGGAGAGGCTTGCTCTCTGCCCTCCTCTTTTGCTTTCCTTGCTTTTGCTATGTTCCTCCGCCATGAACTGTTGCCCCTGCCATGTGCCCCTCTGCCTTGGAGCCAGCCGAGTATAGACTGAAACCTCCACAGACTGTGAGCTAAATAAACCTTTCCTTCCTTAATTCTGGGCATCAGGTATTTTGTCTCAGCAACGAGAGAAAAGTAACCAAGACAGTGACGCAGTGGGAGAGGCAGCGGAGGCCTCCGCCCTGGTCTGTGCTTGTAGCTCTGTCCCAAGAAGAGCCGCACAGCCGGGGCAGAGCCAGCAGTGAAGCCCCTTAGGATTTATTGCCCCAGGCAGGGTGCACTCCTGTGATCCCAGCACTCTAGGAGGCTGAGGCAGGTGGATCGCAAACTCAGGCCCAACCTGGGCAACTTAGCAAGAGTCTGTCTCAAAAAATAAAAAATAAAAAGGGCTAGGGATGTAGCTCAGTGGTACAGGGCCCCTTGGTTTGATCCCCAGTATAACAAAAAACACAAAACAAAACCAGACAATTCAGTAAACAGCATAAATAATAACTGAACACAGTATTTGTGTGTGTGGTTCTGGGGTTCAAACCCAGGGCCTTGTGCATGCAAGGCAAGAGTTCTACCACTGAGCCACATCTCCAGCCCTGCATAGAGTTTGTTTGTTTGTTTCTTGTTTTTTTGAGACAGGGTTGCACTATGCAGTTCAGGCTAGCCTTGAACTCACTTTTGCAGCCCAGGCTGGCCTCAAACTCACATCGATCCTCCTGCCTCAGCCTCCCGAGTGCTGGGATTACAGGCGTGCACCACCACGCCCAGCCTACAGTATTTTTCTAAAAGTCCAAATTAATGCCGAAAAATCCATGATGAACAAAAATGACAAAATTTGAAATAAAGACAATATCATCAGGAGGGTCTCTTGAGCCCAAGAGCTTGAGCCCAGGCTGGGGACCACAGTAAAGCCCAACCTAAAAAAAAAAAAAAA